CTGTAGTTTAAGTAATAAAGTGGTCTTTATGTTTAAGTTAGAGCCTGTTTTGCTTATTCCTGGTCACATCTCACAGCAGACACCAGGGTGAGGCATTTTCATGGGGGGCACTGGCTCTGTGCCAGGCTCAAACCATGACACCAATAAACACCAGCAGTATTGCAATATGCAATATATATATTTATAAATATATAAAAATATATAAAATATACAATATACAATACATAATATACAATATACAATATATAATGTATAATACATAACACGTAACAAATAGCATATAATATATAATAGATGATATATGAGCATAAAAAATACACACACACACACACACCCCCCTAAATTTATTGACACAATGATGGGGTCTGAACTATCCCTCCACAGAGAAGGATTTTGGGTGATGTAGAGACTGGGTTTTAAAACATCAGACCTGTTTTCAACAACAGTCACAAAATTCAGTGTTTAAAGAACACACCATAGCAAGGACATCTCACTGCCCACAGCCTGGACATGTCCAACTTACAAAACAGACATTGATGATTTGTTCTACGTCCCTCAAGTTCCTTCTGTATGCTGGTTTTGGCTGGGGTGGATTTAATTTACTCCCAGTATGGGATGGTTTGGGCTTGTGCTGGGAACGGTGCTGATAATTCAGGGATTTTTTTTGCTATGGCTCTTTTGCTCCTTTCTGCTCCTCACCCCACCAATGAGAGGGCTGGGGATGACAAGGATTTGGGAGGGGACACAGCCAGGACAGCTGGCCCCAGGTGACCCAAGGGATCTTCCAGACCGTGTGGGGTCATGCTCAGCAATAAAACTTGCAGGAAGAACAAGGAAGGAAGAGACACTTGGAGTGATGGAGTTTTTCTTCTCAAGACACTGTTACCTGTGGTGATCCTTGGGGATGGCTGGACACCTGCCTGCCCATGGGAAGTGGTGAATAAATTCCTTGTTCTGCTTTGCCTGCACAGATTTAGTTTTGGCTGTTAATCTGTCTCTATCTCAACCCACAAGTTTTTTCACTTTCATTCTTCTGAATTCCTTCCCATTCCACCAGGGCAGAAGTGAGCAAGAGCTGCCTGAAGCTGAATTTCTGGCTTGGGTGAAGCCACAACATCCTGAAGAAAATCTGTGCTATTAAATCTGGATAAATTCAGAACAAACTGAGCCTCAGATTTCCCTGTTACTTCAATGAAATGCATCTCTGGTGCATAAATCACAGAGGTGTTATTCCAAAAGTGATTGTCTCCATTTCTGTCTCTGAATGCTGGATCTTATGCCCATCAAGGTCTCATTTCAGCCCAGCTGCCACCTCTCGGGATCTCTAACTGGTCAGAGTGACCCTGAGATACGTCAGAAAGTCTCTTTTCCCAGCCCAGTGCTTGAAGAAGGAGTCAGGGCTCTTCATTTCTCGGTCTCAAGGTTGTTTATTGTTTCTTATCTATAAAATTCTTTCTCCTGATCTGCCAAGGTCCACTCAGCAAGACAGTCAGAGGCACTCTGCCTGCCCCCAGGGTGGTGTTATCTTTTTATACTAAAAACTATGTGTACATTATTTACAATTACTTCCCAATACCTATCACCTATGTTAGACAGTGAGCTTCTACTCTAAACCAATCCAAAAGTGCCAACATCACAGCAGAAGATGGAGGCCAAGAAGAAGAAGAAGGAGAAAGGCTGGACAAACCCAGATTCTTCCATCTGGCCCCCTGAGTCCCTATTCTAAAATCCCCAAAAATCTATTTTTCACCCCATGATAAGTTCACTATTGTCTACTGAAACTTTCATGGCTTGTAATTCTTCATATAAAGGTTGGTGATTGTTTTTATCAAGGGTTAAATCAAAGGCACAGGTGTCCTGGGCTCTGTGCCAAGGTCTCTGAGCCCCCCTGGGCAGGGGCTCGAATCCTCCAGGACAGCCAGAGGAATTTCCTGGGTTCCGACAGCCACCCTCACTCCAGGCTCATTCTTCCTTTTGTACCCAATTTCTATGGAGCCCCTTGAGTGCCCATCTCACCTCTGCATCCTCCATGAGCCTGAGTGGAACCTGGGCTTGGCCTCATGTGAGACAGCTCCCACTGCTCTCCTCTGTTGATGGCCCTACAGGGATCTGCTTCTCCCATCCCAGTTCCCCACACTGTTTCTCTCCTGCAGTGACCACTGAGACTTCCCAAGGATTTCCTCATTCCATGTCTATTCAGATCTTGACTCCTAGGACACCATTGGTGTTTTCCCATGGAGGGCTGTCTGGGCAGCAG